GAGCATCGTTTTCACTTTGGATTTGCTCATTCTTCCCTTTTTTGGGCGAGGAGACGCCGGCGTGTGCCACTCGGAAGATTGCCTCTTTGTCTCGGGATCATACTCATAGATCCATGACTCGTCACCTGTGATTACGTTATTCAAAAATTGGAGGTCAGTTTCACACATGTTTAGACTTTCTTGGCACACTTCCACTAGCCGCAATTTCTGGTCGTCAGTGAGCACTTTTGGGACCATCTTCGCGCACACCTTGCGCATGTTCAAATGCTCCGTCACAATGTCATGAACCACAGATTTTGGTAAATTTAATCTGGGCAATTAAACGAATACTTAGTCGACGTTCTGATTTCAAAACTTCGCGCACACGTGTCACATTGTCGGCGTTTGTCGAAGTCGAAGGTCTTCCAGCACGGTCTTCATTGGCCCTCTGAAAAGGCCTGGTGCCACCGAAACACACCACTTCATGCTAAAGCAACATCTGGGTAAGCCTGCTTGATCATATCAAACGTCTCTGTCGCAGATTTACCGAGTTTCACACAGAATTTAATCGCGTAATAATTTGCTCTAACGAACGCTGCATTTTCGGCTTGCACCACTCACAGAAACCCGTCGCGCGAAAAATCCTGTTCTGACTCTCCAGGTGCTCGGAGACAACTCACCAGCCGCTCGTTCGTTAGCTAGGAATGCCCTCTACCTATTACTTTCCGGACAAACCCTGTATATTACGTCGAAAGAATAGGAGGGCAGAAGGCGATATGGAACGCAAGAAGTAACAAGCGAGATATGTCGGTTGTTGGTAACAAAACTTCTGAAATATGAAAGGTTAGTTAAGAGATACATGAGAAGCAGGAATTAAGAGGGGCAGAGGTAAACCTAGATTAGGATAATGGTTGCAAATATTTAGTTGAGTAGGTTGCTTTAGTTTCCGAGAAAAGCAATGATTGGTTCAGTCTTCGGCCGAAGATGATGACAGATTTTATCAATGAGAAGTTGTCGAGCGGTGTCTGCGTATTTATTGAGTATTGCCATAAAATTATAGGGTTGTTCGGAAAGTCATTTCGTTTTTTATTTTTGTGGAAATGAAAGACAGTTTTCGTATAATAAACAAATACTTTATTAAATTATATATTGACCGTTCTGGTCCAACACCTTTTGCCATCTTTCTGGTAGTAGCATAATTCCACGCTCATAAAATTTTTGGTCTTTGCTGGCAAAAAACTGATCGAGGAGGTTTTTGACCTCCTCATTTGAGGTGAAGGTTTTACCGTCTAAAAAATTTTGGAGTGACCGGAACAAATAATAATCCGATGGTGCCAGGTCTGGAGAATATGGTGGGTGTAGCATTGTATCCCATTCAAGCTGTAAAAGCTTTTGGCGAGTGACCAAACTTGTGTGAGGTCTCGCGTTGTCTTGGTGAAACACTACACCTTTCCTGTTGATTAGTTCTGACCTTTTCTGTTGAAGTGCATCATTCAGTTTGTCCAGCTGATGACAGTAGACTTCCGAATTAATCGTTGTGTTATCCGGTAAAAGCTCAAAAAAAACGATTCCTTTAAAATCCCACCAAACAGACAGCATCACCTTTTTTTGGTGAATATCGGCTTTGGAAATGGTTTGAGCCGGTTCATCTTTTTTGCTCCATGACCTCTTGCGTTTGACGTTGTTGTATACAACCCATTTTTCGTCCCCAGTGATGATGCGCTTCAAAAACGGATCATTTTCGTGACGTTTGAGAAGCGAATCGCAGACGTCAATGCGGCGACACAGATTTCTCTCTGTGAGAACATGGGGAACCCATACATCGAGCTTCGAGGATAATCCCAGGCCTTTCAAGTGGTCATAAACTGTTGAATTTGATAAATTTAACCTCAATCCGATCTCACGTGTTGTTATTCGCCGGTTCACATCAACTAATGCCTTTATCGCGTCTTTATCAGCTTCAACCGGCCTTCCCGAACGTGGTGCATCTTCGACATCAAAATTGCCGGATCGAAATTTAGCGAACCAGTTCTGGCACTGGCGTACTGTCAACACACCTTCTCCATACACATCAGTCAATTTCTTTCTGGCTTGAACAGCATTTTTACCCTTTCTGTAGTAAAACAGTAAGATATGTCGAAAATGCTGCTTATCGCTCTCCATATTTAAAAGGGCACCAACCAAAAACTACTGCGTAGAATTAATTGGAATTTTTCACACACAAGCCTTGCTATATGAGCTCTCAAAGCATGTAAAAATTATACGGCTTAAATGTGAAGTTGGGTGCAAAAGAATACAATTAAATCCTCTGTCGGGAAAAAACGAAATGACTTTCCGAACAACCCTACAGAATCAGTCGATAGATTCGGTTGGTCCGGAAGAGTACAAACTCGGTTTCAATATCAACATCAAAGATGAAGAGTTGAAGAGATATTTGATGATATTTTAAGTTGTACAGAAAAGTTTGGAAGGAATTGGGAGAAGAATGACAGAGTCAGCATCGGATTTAGATTTCTTCTCAATGTAAGAATATAATTCTTTTGGGCGAAGATATGTATAAGAAGCTGGCATTCTGTATCCCATTGTGAATATTAAAGCTAACAGTTTCATGTTCTGCTAACATAGAAGCACAACTAGTAAACAAGAACATTTTCCGTATAGCTACGGAAGTCCAGGTATCACAGTACCACAGTATGGTTGAGCTGACTCAGTCTTGGTATTGGTCTTGATCTTGCTCATTCGATCTTGGTATTGGTTTTGCTCAAATATTTGTAGTCTTGGTCTTGCGTGTTATGTTTTGATCTTTGAATCCGAGAGTCATGGAAATTTCGAGGACTCATCCTTCCTCCAGCGCATGAATTGACACTCCCTAAAAACATAAACCGACATTTTAGAGAAAAAAATTGTACAAAGTTAATTTGTATATTATATTTCAACCATGTGTTATTTAGAAATAGGAGCAAAGAAGATTTCCTACGTGGATGTTCTTGTATCTACAGGGTTTGTCCGGAAAGTAATAGGACTGATTTCCTTCCGCCGCGACTGTACTTCGGAGCGTGCGCGCACCAGCTGGATTTGGTTGAGGGCATTCATAGCTAACGAACGAGCGGCTGGTGAGTTGTATCCGAGCACCTGGAGTGTTAGAACAGGGTTTTTCGCGCTACGTGTTTCTGTGAGTGGTTCAAGCCGAAAATGCAGCGTTCGTTAGAGCAGAGATACAGGTGACGAGTCATGAATCTTTAAGTATGATCCCGAGACAAAGAGGTAATCTTCCGAGTGGCACACGCCGGCGTCTCCTCGCCCAAAAAAGGGAAGAATGAGCAAATCCAAAGTGAAAACGATGCTCATTGTCTTTTTTGACATGAAAGGCATCGCCACTATGAATTTGTTCCTCCTGGACAAACCGTCAACGTTGAGTTTTACGTGGAAGTGCTCAACAGACTCAAACGAAGGGTCAATCGGGTCCGACAAGACATCGCAGCCGACTGGAACCTGCACCACGACAACGCCCCGGCTCACACCACCTTTCTTGTGGACAGCTACCTGAACAAGGTCGGCATCCTAACGCTTCAGCAGCCGCCCTACAGCCCAGGTGTGGCCCCACGGACTTTCTTTTGTTTGCTCGCCTGAAAAGGCCGATGAAAGGCAAGCATTTTGAAACGACAAAGGGGATCCAAGCAGCATGCCCCGCGGCTCTTAAGGCTATTCCGCAGAATGCCTTCCGTGACGCCTTCAATGCTTGGAAATCGCGCTGGCAGCGCTGCATCGACGCAGAAGGAGCCTCTTTTGAAAGTTTTTAAAGAATTGTAACGATTGGCTCAATAAATTTTTTTAAATCGACTCAGTCGTATTACTTTGCGGACCAACCCTGTATAATTGAAAGAATGGGAGAGTTTTGTTTTTTCATATTTAATGTTAAAATCTAGTAATGCAAACTGAAAATATCAAATAACAAAAAATATGTTTTGCTCCAAAACTAGAGTGCACTGATGTTGCTTCAAATAATTTAACTGATAAAACCGCCGGAAGTAATATTTTTTCGTTTAGTCTTGCGTATTTGGTCTTATCTTGATTTTGTATTTTTGCAAGACGAAAACCAGTTTTGCTTATCACTAAGTAATTGTAAATGTTAGTAAATCTGGCCGATATTCCAAGAACAAAATAAGCGTATTATTGCTCTTTTAATTCGGGGCTAGCCTCATCGTAACAATATTTCACCGCAGCTGACCCAATAAAAGGGGTGAAATTTCCGACTTTGCATAGCCGAATATAAATAAGCGTGCCGAATGAATTATTACCATGGATGACGTCAAAAATTCTTTTCTGTGCTTGTATTTGCAGCAATGTTTTAATGAATAATGATTTTTGTAACTGGATGAAAAATGTACCGGGTCATTAATAACATTAAAGGATAATTACTTATTCTTAACGAAATGCAGCAGGGAAAATAATAAGTCAATGCTTCTTCCGGGTAAAAGTTATGTCGTCCAGTTTGCTTTTTGTATTCTGTTATAACTTATAACCGAACTTCCCTGACTCTTCCATATTAAAACATGAAATCCTTGATTTCTTTGACCACTTTAGCAATGAAATTCAGGATTTTTAGTTTGCACCGGGTCAGCGTCAGTTTTTTCCGATTTTCATCCTTGATCACAAGGAATATCTTCAGGGCTTTTTTGATATTAAGATGTACATAGTGGTACAAACCTAGACTGTAGACATCATCCTTGATAGTCAACGAAATTTTGCAATCTAAACTTTCCTTGAATGTAGATATCCTAATACATAGTAAGAACAAATACATCATGATTGATTATTATGGTCTAATTATCACGAAAGTTGGAGACATGGCATGATTAGATACAGTGCCAGTGGTTGATTTTCTAAACTTTGGAGATTGTGTTGCCTGGAAAAGACGCATGCGTTGAATGTTTGCGTGTAGCATTAAGTAGTGTGCCTGTAGCGATTTGCTTTTCGCTTGTTCGTCGTCGTAGTCGAAGTAGTCGCCTTCTTCGTCCTTGTCGTCGGCCGATTCCGAATTCCATTGCTCCATAAACAGTCGTTTGCGAGGTCTCTTGATGATTCATTCTGTCACGGTTCAGTAGCTGAACTCGCTTGTTTAAGTATAAACGTTATCAGTCGTGGCTTGTTTTTAATTGTTGGCGGAAATCTCTGGGTTATTTTTTATTTTCCTTCCAATTAATACAGCAATAGGACGTTTTGTTAGTAGATACCAATTCATCAGGTGAATCGTAGTGCTTCTAAAAATAATATAGTGATTATCAATCCAGTAGTTTGCACTTAATCGTAGGCATACATGTATTTATATATATTCGTGACTATCTGTGGTTATTGTTGAACAACGTGTTTTTTGTTGTTGTATTTATGGATGTGATGTGGATGAACTGTAGCTGTTAAGTTAATAAAAGAAGTCCTCAGGCTCATTGGCATTGCAGCTGTTGTTAACCGGTTTCCAAGTGGAACTTGAGGAAGAAGGTATACCTACTTATACATATAGTTAATTTTAAAGATTTATTTACTTTCTGTAAGCAGGTAAAAGTGCACACGGTATTTATTGCATTGATGGACTGATATAAATGTTGGTACCTATTTTTTTTTTTGGGAAATGCAGGGATACATGTTACAATTGACTATACCTGTTATACCTTTTTTGTAGCGTGTTTTGTATGGAAGTTTTCGTTCAGTAGGATACTCAGATATTTATTTTATTACAAATTACATGTGAAGGGATAAGGTCCTTCACTTGTTTTTTTTATGAAGCTTTTAGACCTACTATAAGGCATAAATTTGCATTTATTTACACAAAAAGATAAACATATATGCAGGTATTAAGTTTATGTTTGTATTAAATAATAGGAAACTCCGAACGAACGCGGGATAACTTCTGATTTGTAGCATCGACACGCGGAACCCCTAAGCATTTGAGTGGAACCTTAAGGTATTTTTAGATCTTAAATTTTTTAATGTCACTAACCGATCCCGTGTCAAAAGCTTTTAAAGGATGATGTTGTAGGTAGGTATCAATTGAACATTTACCTTCATCATAACAAAACAAATTCCTACAGGCATTTATCCACAATTATGTTTTACTTTATATTATGTATCGTCTAAACTGACTTACCCAAGTAATCGTTATTTTCAAAATGTGCGTATGACATAGGTGCTTCCATCAAATTATAGATTTTACGTTATAGGTAAATGAAAATGTAAAAACCTTTCCCTTTTCTTAATTACCTATATACTGTTACTTACGGTTGAGACTTACTTAATATGCTTACAAACTAGGTACCTATAAATAGCTTATTTGTATTAATATAAATATAATTTTCTGAGAATTTTAATGGCTCATAATACCCATTATGCTACTGGCATTTCCGTGACTACCGGAGGTTCCTGATTTATATTAATCACTTTGTAAACAACAAAATTTTATCGGTCGTTCTTCCCTTTTAAATGTTCCAACTGTCGTCGTGCTATTTATAAATTTATTTGAATATTTTTTAACCCCTTGCATTATCCATCTGTATACATGTACCAATTAAAAGCTTAACAACAATTATCTACCTGGGGACTCCTGGTGACTATTCTTATTGTATTTATTCAATTTTTGCTTGCACTAGACCTCGTCCATGAACCCCAAGGTGTTCGCTACAAGTATTCGTTGAATTTGGTAGCCCGCACTTATTTATGTATTATCCATTAATAATTTTCCCTTTTCAGTCAGTCCAAACCAGCCCTTTAAGATGTCGGCCCATTGGTGATTGTACCGATGAGCTTATATGGTCAGTTCACTACTTATGCATCTCGTTTTCTTTGATCTATAACAACAAGCAGCAGGTTGCAGGTTGTTTGTTGTTGTTGTTACTTTGTGTGTATTTTGATGTATCAAATTTGCTATATTTTGTGTTTTGGGTTCAATTAAGTACATGGGAATTTTTATAAGCTTAAAGTATGTTCTGAGTCATATCTATGTGTACGTACCTAATGTAGTTCTATTCGCAATTGTTTATTGTTTTTATTGGCATGCTGTAGTAAACAATGATTTTGAATTCATTGATTGCCAAATATTGAAAGGTACAGGTACGTGTTAGGTTTTGTTGAGGTAGATTCGATTTAGGTTTGGTCAAATAAGAGAGATATAGGTAAATGCCTAGATGATGGGGGTGAGATCGAAAGAGGAGGTCTCCCCCACCACTATACCATAAAAAGTTCGTGGCGGTCTCACCCCCATAAATAGTTATGGGGGGGGATCGAAAGGGGGCGGTCACCTGAGTAAAACCCCATAAAAAAATTGCGGCGGTCCCCCATCAAAAGTTATGGTGGTTGAAAGTTGATTATTTTGACAATTTGCATACACTATAATTCAAATAAAATTCAATCAAAAAATTATTTTCAAGCGGGTGGAGGTGGGGGATCGAAAGAGGGTGGTCACTTGAACAAAACATAACATAACCTAACCTAACCTATTGATAAAGATATAACTTTGTCAATATTTTTATGTATTGTTTTACCTTTNTGGTGGAATCTACTTCGTAACGTATTAATTTAATCATTTAGGTGCAATCTTTTCTCATTTGTTGAGGCATATTACTAAGGACTATGAAGTCTCCTCTGAGCAGTTGTTTTTTTTCTAACGAATAAACCACTTTGTTCTTCTACTATACTAATTACTATTCAGATTTTCTCTAAAACAACTCTTTTCTATACATATACGATACATATCTGGTGTGTTTTGTCATTGAAGTCATTTGTTTAATCATCGGAGATTAGGATGAAGTGGTTTAATGGCGGTAGTTTCCTGGGGTGACGCGTCCCGACGCCTGGACGATTTTTACAAAAAACACGTCGTTCATAAGATTTAGTAAGCAATTACTGTCCGAGCCTGAACCCATTTCGTGAAAAGCGACCGTTTTCTTTTCTGTTTTATTCTACCAGGGTTACTTGATTTTCGTTTTATTTTATTTTTTTGTTTTACTTTGAATAAAAAAATGTTTTCGTCGATGATTGTATTACAATGAAAACGAAAAATTAATGTAAACAGTGAATGAAAAATATGAGTAGGTATGTTATCAATGTTTGTTATGATTATTTGTTCTTTTTTTTCTACCGTATTATGATAAAAGTAGTTCCACCCATTTATATATTAATCATGGGGATTCTCCGTGGTGGTCCCTTAGTGCATAACACTGGGACGACAACATTTCATCCTTGATGCCTAGCACTTCATATATTTCAATTAACTAATATTACAATGCTACAAATTAACTGTAAGTAAGCCATAGTTAAAATCAGTAGGTAAACCTGATAACTTGTCTGCACGAATGAATCATGAACATATTTTAAGTAGAGATACACCAGTTAATGGTATTTCGATATCGAATTGATTAATTTAATGTTGTTTTCCAAATTCTTAGTAATCAAAAATTTTTGATTTCGTTTTTATAATTGCACCTAACCCAAAAATCTAGTACGTTACCTACCCATCTTTAGAATAGGTTTATTACATTTTCCGAATATTCGCATTTAAACATGTCTAACGCGTCCAATTTTTTCATCAAAAATCCCTATTAAAAATAGATCTGCGGCAGTTTCATCTTTCAATTAATGTTTTAGTAGTCAACTAATTGCAGAAACTCGTAATATTAGAAGACATAACTGCACCGATTTACATTACAAACATACATACTTACACTAGAACATTAGTTGGTTTCTTAATTAGTTCTTATATGTGCATCTATACATTTTTAAAATGGATTGGATAAATAGAATTTGGAGAGTTATAAATACGTAAGCCACGTGGACTATTTGCTGTATAATAAAATAAAACTATACCTACCTACGCATTAAACAGTTGCTTATTGATAAAATTTTATAACCCTTTTACTTTGTTAGTACCACTTAAATGTTGTAGCTGATAAGAAATATCGTGGTTCAATTTTTTAAAGCGAACGAAGTATGTACAAAGTAGGTGATCGTAATAATTGGCATGGAATTCCCCTATTAGTTTGTTGGGAAAATTAAAAATACTGGTGTGGGACCAGGTACGTAGTAAACCTTTTTCCGTATGGACCACACCGTTGCAGATTTTATGTGGTATTAAACTCGAGATATCTTAAGTTCCGTGATAAGCAAGCTAATTTCCTGCCCCTGAAGAAGTGAAAAATTCTTTAGTTTCGAAATCATATTCATCGCAAAAATATGTGGAGTTGAATGCGTATGGTTTTAAACTTGGCGGTGTCATATTAAAATATTATATATGAAAAGAACTAAGCAATAATTTAATCAGCGATGTCTCTGAATAAGTTGCATTACACATATAGATAAATACTGAGTTTTATAATTGCTCGTTTTATCGCTAAATACTTTGAAAAGTTTAAGTTATGAAGTCATATTACATTTATCAAAATGTTTGCGTTTTCCTCATAAATGATACATTTTATAAATAGATGGTGATTAACGTCGGTGCGATTGGCATCAATTGTTTTTATCATTACTGGATGTGCATTAATCACATATTGAACTTCATTGTTTGAGATTTTCGGATTTCCACCCAAAAAAAAAATACTACGTAGAATTACCATACGTTCCCAGAAATTTGAAACGTTACAGGTGGTAGATACGTACCTATGGATGTACCAAAATACAATACAATAAAAGTTCCTTATTCACGGTTTCCTTATTCGCGTTTTCATTATTCGCTGGTGAAAAATTGCAACCCAGTTCCTGCATTCGCGGCTAAGAATTCCATTATTCGCTGATGCAATCGGTAAACAGAAAAGGATTCGGTGTCATTTATTAAGGAGATCGACCGCAATAGACCACTCGTGCCTAGTGGGAATTTTTCCGAATGTGGGTTTCTATTTTAAACATTGTGATTTAACTCTGCGAGATAAATGTGTGATTTTTTGTATAGTAACAGACAAAGGTTCACACTAACTCTGTACGTTTTTGGTTTTCAATAATATGGTCATTAAAAGCGTTTGCAAGTGCTTAAAGTTGGTGCTTCTTGTACGACACGTATTTTCAATAGAAATTAAAAAATGGCCTTC